CACTTCATAATCTGGCAGAAAAATATCTAGGTAACATACATTTAGGCACAGCACAGATACTGCTGGCAGCTTTTAGACAAGTTTATTGTAATATTCAGTAGTCAAAAGCAGAGCAGAAATATTTGAAAAACCTTGGCCTTTAAGGACAGGAATAAAACTGGGGTTAAGGAAGTTGCAGTTGTTCAAGACATTAACACCACTAAAGAAATGCTAAAGGCTTTGCCCAGAGACCATAAGAAAGATGGCTTGAGACCATACCCATCTCAGGCTCAGGGGAGTAAAAGTAAAAGTTCTCTTGAGAAGAAACCAGTGGGGCACCCAGGGAGCCTAGGAAGTTTTTCAACGTGCTCAGTTACCCAGGCATCCAGAGACTGCTACAGCAATGGTCCCTGGAGACATGGCTACTGCTCCAGAGGGTGGCAGATCTTCGTGTCAAACACATGGGGATGGTTGTGCAGGATTGCAAGATGCTGGAATTAGGGGGTCATGGAGGCTTCCACCAAGATTTCAAAGTAATGCCTGGAAAGCCAGGAAAAGTGAAGCAGGGTGGGAGTCCCTGCAGGTTGCACCTGAGAGGGTAACGCATGGAGATGTAAGGAGGAAGCTAAAGCTGAAGCTACCCCTTCATTCTATTCCTCTATTTTTGTGAATGGAAATATTCACTCTGTATCTTTTTATACTGGATACTTGAAAATCACTTTTGACTGCAGAGGGGCAGTGCTGCTGCCTGCGCCTGCAAAGTAGGCAGAACTGCGACCACCAACAGAACAAGCCTAGCGGCCCGCAGAGGGACAGAGCCGCCGATCGCGACTGCAAGGTAGGCGGACCTGCTACCGACCGGCAGAGCAGGCCCAGTGGCCTGCCGGCATGGTAGGCACATTGCCCCAATTGGAGGAGGGGCAGAGCCGCCGCCTGCGCCTGCGAGGGAGACTTTGCAACTATACAAGACCAATATAAATATATAGGGGGAAAATTCAATAGCACAACAGTTTCACCAAGTAGAAAGGAATGCGAACAGTATGAAGAGACAAGGAAAGAAAGGACCACAAGCAATGCAGGTCAACTCAACGTTAGAAGAGGTAATAGCTGCAGCAGATGGAATGTCAGATAAAGAATTCAGGATATACATGCTTCAGATGATCTGGAGTCTCAAGGAAGACATCAGACAGCAAAATCAGACAATGAAAGATCACTTCAACAATGAATTACATAAACAAATCCAAGAAGCAAAAGATCAACTATACAGGGAGATAGAGGTTATAAAAAACAAACAAACAGAAATCCTAGAAATGCAGGAAGCAATAAACCAATTTAAAAACTCAATTGAGAATACTACCAGCAGAGTAGAACACTTAGAAGATAGAACATCAGACAATGAAGATAAAGTATTTCAACTTGAAAAGAACATAGACAGCTCAGCAAGACTGTTAAGAAACCATGAGCAGAACATCCAAGAAATATGGGATAACATCAAGAGACCAAATTTAAGAGTCATTGGGATACAGGAAGGGACAGAGTTTCAAACAAAAGGAATGAGCAATCTATTTAATGAAATAATACGAGAAAACTTCCCAGACTTGAAGAATGAGACAGAATCCCAAATCCTAGAAGCCTACAGGACGCCGAATGTGCAAAATCATAACAGACCCACACCTAGACACATTATAATGAAGATGCCCAACATACAGAATAAGGAGAGAATTTTAAAAGCTACAAGAGAAAGGAAGCAGATCACATTTAGGGGTAAGCCAATCAGGATAACAGCTGATCTTTCAACACAGACTCTGAAAGCTAGAAGATCCTGGAATAACATATTTCAAACACTGAAAGAAAATGGGTTCCAACCAAGAATTGTGTTTCCAGCGAAATTAAGCTTCAGGATGGAAGATGAAATTAAAACCTTCCACGATAAACAAAAGTTAAAAGAATTTGCAGCTAGAAAACCATCTCTTCGAAACATCCTTGGCAAAACATTACAGGAAGAGGAAATGGAAAATAACAATGAAAACCAACAGTGGGAGGTAGGACAGTAAAGGGGGGAAAAATAATCAAAGAGGAAAACAAACCATGTTTAGTAACATAAATAAACAAATATGGCTGGAAGAACAACCCATATCTCAATAATAACCCTAAATGTTAATGGCTTAAACTCACCAATCAAGAGACACAGGCTAGTAGAATGGATCACAAAACAAGACCCAACAATATGCTGCCTACAGGAGACGCATTTGATAGGAAAAGACATACATAGGCTGAAGGTGAAAGGTTGGGAAAAATCATATCACTCATATGGACTTTGGAAACAAGCAGGAGTGTCCATACTCATATCAAATAAAATAGATTTCAAGCCAAAGTTAATCAAAATGGATAAAGAGGGACACTACATACTGCTTAAGGGAACCATACACCAACAAGACATAACAATCATAAATATATATGCCCCAAACAATGGTGCAGCTATGTTCATCAAACAAACTCTTCTCAAATTCAAGAGTCTAATAGACCACCATACAATAATCATGGGAGACTTCAACACACCTCTCTCGCCACTGGACAGATCTTCCAAACAAAAGTTGAATAAGGAAACTATAGAACTCAATAACACAATTAATAACCTAGACTTAATTGACATATGTAGAATATACCACCCAACATCAAGCAGTTACACTTTTTTCTCAGCAGCACATGGATCCTTCTCAAAAATAGATCATATATTATGTCACAGGGAAACTCTTAGACAATACAAAGGAGTAGAGATAATACCATGCATCCTATCTGATCATAATGGAATGGAACTGAAAATCAATGATAAAAGAAGGAAGGAAATAGAATACATCACTTGGAGAATGAACAATAGGTTACTGAATGATCAATGGGTTATAGAAGACATCAAGGAGGAAATTAAAAAATTCTTAGAGATTAATGAAAACACTGACACAACATATCGGAATCTATGGGACACATTGAAAGCAGTTCTAAGAGGAAAATTCATTGCTTGGAGTTCATTCCTTAAAAAAAGAAAAAACCAACAAATAAATGATCTCATACTTCATCTCAAAATCCTAGAAAAAGAAGAGCAAAACAACAGCAAAAGAAGTAGAAGGCAAGAAATAATTAAAATCAGAGCTGAAATTAATGAAATCGAAACAAAAGAAACAATTGAAAAAATTGACAAAACTAAAAGTTGGTTCTTTGAAAAAATAAACAAAATCGACAGACCCTTAGCCATGCTAGCGAAGAGAAGAAGAGAGAGAACTCAAATTACTAGCATACAGGATGAAAAAGGCAATATCACAACAGACACCTCAGATATACAGAAGATAATCAAAAATTATTTTGAATCCTTATACTCCAATAAATTAGAAGATAGTGAAGGCATCGATAAATTTCTTAAGTCATATGATCTGCCCATATTGAGTCAGGAGGATATAGACAACCTAAACAGACCAATATCAATTGAGGAAATAGAAGAAACCATCAAAAGACTACCAACTAAGAAAAGCCCAGGACCGGATGGGTATACAGCAGAGTTTTACAAAACCTTTAAAGAGGAACTAATAGCAATACTTTTCAAGCTACTTCAGGAAATAGAAAAAGAGGGAGAACTTCCAAATTCATTCTACGAGGCCAACATCACCTTGATACCTAAACCAGACAAAGACACTTCAAAGAAAGAAAACTACAGACCAATATTTCTAATGAACCTAGATGCAAAAATCCTCAATAAAATTCTGGTGAATCGGATACAAAAACATATCAAAAAAATTGTGCACCATGATCAAGTAGGATTCATCCCCGGGATGCAAGGCTGGTTCAATACACGGAAATCAATAAATGTTATTCACCACATCAATAGACTTAAAAATAAGAACCATATGCTCATCTTGATAGATGCGGAAAAAGCATTCGACAAAGTACAGCATCCCTTTATGTTCAAAACTCTAGAAAAACTAGGGATAACAGGAACATACCTCAATATTGTAAAAGCAATCTATGCTAAGCCTCAGGCTAGCATCATTCTGAATGGAGAAAAACTGAAGGCATTCCCTCTAAAATCTGGAACAAGACAGGGATGCCCTCTCTCACCACTTCTGTTCAACATAGTTCTCGAAACACTGGCCAGAGCAATTAGACGAAAGAAATGAAAGGCATAAAAATAGGAAAAGAAGAACTTAAATTATCACTATTTGCAGATGACATGATTCTATACCTAGCAGACCCAAAAGGGTCTACAAAGAAACTATTAGAGCTAATAAATGAATTCAGCAAAGTGGCAGGATATAAAATCAACACGCATAAATCAAAGGCATTCCTGTATATCAGTGACAAATCTTCTGAAATGGAAATGAGGACAACCACTCCATTCACAATATCTTCAAAAAAAAAATAAAATACTTGGGAATCCACCTAACAAAAGAGGTGAAAGACTTATACAATGAAAACTACAGAACCCTAAAGAGAGAAATAGAAGAAGATCTTAGAAGATGGAAAAATATACCCTGTTCATGGATAGGCAGAACTAACATCATCAAAATGGCGATATTACCCAAAGTTCTCTATAGGTTTAATGCAATGCCAATCAAAATCCCAACGGCATTTCTTGTAGAAATAGAGAAAGCAATCATGAAATTCATATGGAAAAATAAAAGACCCAGAATAGCAAAAACAATGCTAAGCAGGAAGTGTGAATCAGGCGGTATAGCGATACCAGACTTCAAACTATACTACAGAGTAATAGTAACAAAAACAGCATGGTACTGGTACCAAAACAGGCGGGTGGACCAATGGTACAGAATAGAGGACACAGAAACCAATCCACAAAACTACAACTACCTTATATTTGATAAAGGGGCTAAAAGCATGCAATGGAGGAAGGATAGCATCTTCAACAAATGGTGCTGGGAAAACTGGAAATCCATATGCAACAAAATGAAACTGAATCCCTTTCTCTCGCCATGCACAAAAGTTAATTCAAAATGGATCAAGGAGCTTGATATCAAATCAGAGACACGCCGTCTGATAGAAGAAAAAGTTGGCTACGATCTACATACTGTGGAGTCGGGCTCCAAATTCCTCAATAGGACACCCGTAGCACAAAAGTTAATAACTAGAATCAACAAATGGGACTTACTCAAACTAAAAAGTTTTTTCTTAGCAAAAGAAACAATAAGAGAGGTAAATAGAGAGCCTACATCCTGGGAACAAATCTTTACTCCTCACACTTCAGATAGAGCCCTAATATCCAGAGTATACAAAGAACTCAAAAAATTAGACAATAAGAGAACAAACAACCCAATCAACAAATGGGCCAAGGACCTGAACAGACACTTCTCAGAGGAGGACATACAATCAATCAACAAGTACATGAAAAAATGCTCACCATCTCTAGCAGTCAGAGAAATGCAAATCAAAACCACCCTAAGATACCATCTCACTCCAGTTAGATTGGCAGCCATTATGAAGTCAAACAACAACAAGTGCTGGCGAGGATGTGGGGAAAAGGGTACACTTGTACATTGCTGGTGGGACTGCAAATTGGTGCAGCCAATTTGGAAAGCAGTATGGAAATTTCTTGGAAAGCTGGGAATGGAGCCACCATTTGACCCAGCTATTCCCCTTCTCGGTCTATTCCCTAAAGACCTAAAAAGAGCATGCTACAGAGACACTGCTACATCGATGTTCATAGCAGCACAATTCACAATAGAAAGACTGTGGAACCAACCTAGATGCCCTTCAATAGATGAATGGATAAAAAAATGTGGCATTTATACACAATGGAGTATTACTCTGCATTAAAAAATGACAAAATCATAGAATTTACAGGGAAATGGATGGCATTAGAGCAGATTATGCCAAGTGAAGCTAGCCAATCCCTAAAAAACAAATGCCAAATGTCTTCTTTGATATAAGGAGAGTAACTAAGAACAGAGTAGGGTCGAAGAGCATGAGAAGAAGATTAACATTAAACAGGGATGAGAGGTGGGAGGGAAAGGGAGAGAGAAGGGAAACTGCATGGAAATGGAAGGAGACCCTCAGGGTTATACAAAAGTACATACAAGAGGAAGTGAGGGGAAAGGGAAAAATAATACAAGGGGGACAAATGAATGTCAGTAGAGGGGGCAGAGAGAGAAGAGGGGAGGGGAGGGGAGGGGAGGGGGGATAGTAGAGGATAGGAAAGGCAGCAGAACACAACAGACACTAGTATGGCAATATGTAAATCAATGGATGTGTAACTGATGTAATTCTGCAATCTGTATATGGGGTAAAAATGGGAGCTCATAACCCACTTGAATCAAAGTGTGAAATATGATATATCAAGAACTATGTACTGTTTTGAACAGCCAACAATAAAAAATTAAAAAAAAAAGAATAAAATTATCTTTATTCGTAAGCATTGAGTCAAAATTTGAAGCAAGACATGTCAGTTAAATATGCCTCCTTTGGACCCTCAGGGTTATACAGTGGAGGGGGTAGAGAGAGAGGAGGGGAGGGGAGGAGAGAGGAGGGGAGGGGGGATGGTGGAGGATGGGAAAGGCAGCGGAGCACAACAGACACTAGTATGGCAATATGTAAATCAATGGATGTGTAACTGATGTGATTCTGCAATCTGTGTATGGGGTAAAGGTGGGAGTTCATAACCCACTTGAATCAAAGTGTGGAATATGATATGTCAAGAAATTTGTAATGTTTTGAACAACCAACAATAAAAAATTAAAAAAAAAAAGAAAATCACTTTTGATTTTTACAGGAGCTCATGATGTGAGTTTTACCCCGAGTATCAGAGAAGACTCTGGGCTTAAACTTTTGGGCAATCCTGGAACTGTTGAAGATTATAGGGACTCTTGCGAATGGACAAAATTGTTCTGCGTTCTGAAATAAACATAAGGTTTTGGGGACTACGAGTTGATTGTCATGATTTGGATGTAAGGTGTCCCTAAAAGCTCACATGTGAGACAATGCAAGAAGGGTTAGAGGAGAAATGATTGGGTTCTGAGAGTCTTACCCCAACCAGTGAATTAATCCTCTGATGGGATTAACTGAGTGGTAACTGAAGGTGAGTAGGGTGTGGCTGGAGGAGGTGGGTCATTGTGACTTTGGGGTATATGTTTTGAATCTGGAGAGTGGACTCTGCTTCCTGATCATCATGTGAGCTGCTTCCCTCTGCCACACTCTTCCACCATGATGTCCAGCCTCCCCTCAAGCCCTGAGGAATGGAGCCCGCTATCTATGGACTGAGACCCTGAAACCATAAGCCACCAAATAAATTTTTCTCCCTTAAAATTGTTCTTGTTTGGTTTTTTAGTCATAGCAGCCAAAAAGCTGACTAAAACAGGAAGAAAAGGATACCGAGGGCAAAATTGTCATGAAGCTTTTCACTTGAACATGTTGGGAATGAACAAGCAGAATCTGTGCACTTACAAATAGAAATTGTCCCCCTTATACCATGACCTCACTCCCCAACTGGACCCTATCAATAACCTGAGAGCCTCCCACTAAGTCCCATGTCTCAAATTCCACCCCTTCCCAATATCACCATCCTGGACACTTAGGCAAACCACAGCTGTGCAATCAGAGGGGACTTTGTCATTCAGAGACTCATTAAATCAGCAAATAGCAGATCACAAACATGCATATTTGAAAATTTAACTGACAAACAATTAGTTTAACTTCTGAGAAGTTGCCTTAGTGAAAGATGCTTGTCTTCTGTATCTTCTTTGAGAAAACATCCCTCTGCTACAAAGAAGGAGAAAACAAGAAATTATAAATCACAGACAAGAAGATGAATAAAAAGATTTGAGCCAGATGTGGTGGTGCATGCCTGTAATCAGAGCAGCTTGGGAGGCTGAGGCATGAGGATTGCAAGTTCAAAGCCAGCCTCCGCAACTTAGTGAGGCCCTAAGAACTTAATAAGACCCTGTCTCTAAATAAAATAAAAAATAGCTAGAGTTGTTGCAACAATTTGCAGTCCCACCAGCAAAGTATTGATGTACACACTCTGGAAAGCAGTATAGAGATTCCTCAGAAAAATTTGAATGGAACCACCACTTGACCCAGTTATCCCACTTCTCTTTATATACCCAAAGGAATTAAAATCAGCACATTATAGTGACACAGCCACATCAATGTTTATAGAAGTTCAAATGACAATAGCAAAGCTATGGACCAACCTAGGTGCCCTTCAATGGATGAATGATTCTTTTAAATGTGGTATATATCCACAATGGAATATTACTGAGCCATAAAGAAGAATGAACTTAGGATTTTTGCCAGTAAATGGATGGAACTAGAGACTATCATGCTAAGTGAAATAACCCAATCCTAATAAACTAAAGGCTAAATTTCTGATATGTGGATGCTAACACACAATAAGTGTGTATTCAGGGGGGAGAATAGAAATTCATTGGGTTAGACAAAGAGGAATGAAGGAAAGGGAGGTGGGATGGGATTAGGAAATGAATCAGACATAACTTTCCCACGTTCATATATGAATACATGACCAGTGAAACTCTGCATCTTGTTTAACCACAAGAATGGGAAGTTATACTTCATGTATGTTCAATATGTCAAAATATACTCTACTGTCAGGTATATCTAAAAAGAACAAATAAAAACAATAAATCACATAAAAACTAAACTGGAAAAAAAGGCTTAGGGAAGTGGCTTGGATGTTAAGCACTGTGGAACCAAAAAAAGAAAGAAAGAAAAAAGATTTGAGTAAGCCTTTAGACCACAGGGCAAAGGTTTTTCAAAATGTGAGGTGTAGACATCCAGACTGCCCTCCCCCTTCCATCTCCCCTGCCCCACCCCACAGCCAGGGGCAGGGTCCTTACCTGCCACAGTCCCTGGAGATGGGGGATGAGTGGCACTGGGACTTCACTCCCAGAACTTTCAACCTCACAACAAACTTCTTCTGGGGACTAAAAGACTCGGGGCAGCAGAGCTCAAAGCAAGGCCAGTAGATGCAGTTGGGACCACACAGGCGGGTCCGGTTCAGGGGCAGGATGGTGTCATCGTCACAACACTTCTGCAAGGGGTTGTAGATCTGGTCCCCACATTTGGGGGCTGGCTGGCACAGCCATGGGCCAGTATCTGGAAGAGACAGAACTGGGTCAGCTTCAAGGACCAGCCTAGTACCTGCCCCCGTCCACAGAGCCATCTCCCCCCTCTTCACCCCACCTGTTCTCACCTGTGACTCCTGAGGGTGTTGAGCCCAGGAGTTCAGACATGAAGACAGCAGCTGAAAATAAAAGGGAAGTTAAAGTGATTCTGGGGGTGTAGCCAACTGGCCATGATCAGGAGTCAAAAGACAATGTCACTGAGCTTCTTGGGTGGCTGGTAATGGCTGAGTGGATTTAGAGACTGACTGTGGGATCAGGTCTGTGCTGGCAGGTGAGGAAATGCAGGGAGGGCTCTGGGAAGAGTGAGGCTTCTGAAATTTGCAGGTGTAGACATGTGAGGTGTAGACATCCAGACTACAGAGGGTTGCAGTGCAGTCAGGAAAGACAGGGGTGATTGCCAGATGGGAAGCTGAGAACTGAATACAGAGGAGAGAACTGAGTTTGAGGTTCAGAGGAACAAAGGGGTGAGAGAACACTTCGGCTCAACTTGGGGCTGGAGTCTCCTTACCAAAGATTAAGAGCAGCATGGTTCTTCTTCAGCTGTGGAGCAGGGGGAGGAAGAACAGCAAAAGAACTGTCTGGGACCTTGGACTGTGGTTTAAAAAGGGGTTATGGAAACAGGTAGGGAGGAATCTAAAGTGAGGCCCTCCCATCTTGAATTACAACAGACACAGTGTTGTTTCTGGGAAGGGCTGGGCACAAGGATCTGCATCTGAAACCACATATCAGTTTTCAAATTGATTGCCATCCTGAACACTCTTCAAAAATGTGACTCTGGCAAATGACTTTTCTTAGTGATGCCAGGGGAACCCAGTTTTGTGTGCAAACTTCCCACCAACCACTGGCTGTTTCTAGGCTTCCCATGCTCCTCACCATGGAAGTTTCAAGGGCTCTCTTCACCCGCAACTCAGTCCACTTCTCCATCTGAGCTATGTAGAGTTCTTCAGGTATTTGGGGAGGATTATGAAGTTTCAGCCTAGAGTAGAGAAGAGCAGAGGCCAGGGAGAACAAAAAAGGAACAGAGAGTCAGGATAGAGCTCTGGGGTTCACAGAGCTGTGGCTTTTGTCCCTTTGCAGCTTTTGTCCCTGTGGCTTAAGCACTGAGACCTTTTTGCCCACCCAGGGACGCCAATTGCCAGGTTGCTCATGACTAAGACACTCAGGGGTCACTCCAGGGGAACTGGGCTGACTGGGCTGTGTGAAATAACCACACAAGAGACACAATACCTTTTTCTTTTGGGGTCGCTGTGGAAGCTCCTCTGAACTTAAGGGTCCACAGAGAGAGAGAGAGAGAGAGAGAGAGAGAGAGAGAGAGAGAGAGCTTGCACACGTGCTGACCCCTTTTATTGAGGAGAAGCTATTCCAATGAGGCAAGGGGTCAGGTTTCAGGGGCTGAGTATCTTCATGATGTCCACTGTCAGCAGGTTGACTAACACCTGGGTAGGCCACACCCAAGGGCACAGTAAGAGGAGGGGACACACAAAGGGTGTTTCCATGGAACATTCTATCCTAAACAGGGCAAGGGGTAATATCATAAAGGAAGAGGTGAGCGTAGCTCCACCCCTGGGGCTGCAGGAAGGCACACCTATGCAGGAAGATACAGTCACGCAAACCCTAGAAGGGCAGGGAAAATATGGCATGGCTGCTGCCCAACCCCTCATCACCCAGGGGGCGGGGTGTAACTCAGTCAAGTGCAAGGTTGGTCTCCCACACAGAGCACAAGGGAGGACAGCATCTTCATTTGCACAATTCCTTGTCCTAGAAATGCCCCATCCATATTTTTTTACTCTTATTTTCTTGTCACTGTCATTAGCATGTGTGTGATGAGTACTGAGTGTGAGGAGCCATCACCTGGAGGGTTATGACAGGTGCCCCTCCCCCACCTTGTTCTCCAGGGGCTTCCTCTGAGTCACAGTGAAAAGTGGGGGGAGGGGAAGGAGTCACAGAAGTGCTGTGTAACCTCAGAGAGACCCCTGCTCCTCCTCCTCCTTAAACTGGATATTTAGTATGTGGGGGATCTGCCACACAGGTAAGCCTTGCCCTCCCCTCCTCCTCTGCAGGGGTGTCTGTGAGGGTGTCAAGGCTTCTCCTGGCCCCTGCACCCAACAGGAGAGCTGCCTGTAAAGAACACCTTGGGGCTGGGGCTGGGACTCAGTGGTAGACGTGATAGAGCTCTTACGTGGCACGTGTGAGGCACTAAGTTCGATCCTCAGCTCCACATAAAAAAATAAATAACTAAAATAAAGGAATTGTGTCCATCTACAACTAAAAAAATTCTTTAGAATAAAAAAATAATAAAAAAGCACACCCTGTCCCACTACCCCATTTATACAGAACAGTTCTGGGAAAACAGCTCATTTCCGTCTTAGCTAATTAGCTTGATGCCACATTCATGAGGGCAACCCAGAAGTTCATGACCACATGAAAGAGAAATTCCCAGGTGGACAGAACTGACTGTGGAGGAAAATAATAAGGACGATCAGCAGGAGAATTAACCTCTAACTGAAGTGTCTGTGTGGAGAGTCGCATGGAACCTACAGCCAAGCCAGAGTCCAGGCTGATAGATTCTGGGGCCAGTAAAACCAGCGCACCCTCTGTAGAGTCAGAGTCTACTACTTCATAGAGAAAGCAAGATGAGCCCCAGAGCCAGCTCCCCATGTCCCTTACACAGGATGATACTCAAACCAAAGGGTCCCCATGACTGCAGTGAGAGTAATGGGACACTTTATTGTCACCTAAGCCACTCTGTGCTGCAGGCAGGCAGTTTACATCCTGCAGCTGAGTCCCCGTACCTGCCCCATTGGTGGGGTGGCAGGGAGAGACTTCCTTGTGATAACCTCCTGAAATGGATATAGATGACAATGGCTTTGTCCCTACATTGACTTATGGATTTAGCACAACTCCAATGAAGGAAAATTCACAAACAAGTGAATTCGAAAATGTGTAGGGAAAGGTGAGTCAAACCAGAACAGAACATGTTGGAAAGGAAAAATATCCGAGGACTTGCACTCCCTGATTTTTAGAATTACTGTGAAGCCACTCTCAAAAAGACAGGGTTAACGACTAGGAAACAGATGGACGTATGGATCAGTAGAACATGATAAACCAGGAATAGACCCACCCTACTATGGCCATTTGATTTTTTTAGGTATGGGGGATTGAATCCAGGGGCGCTTAAGCACTGAGGCATATCCCCAGGACTTTTTATTTTATTATTTATATTGAGAAGGTTATGATAAGTTGCTTAGGGCATTGCTAAGTGGCTGAGGCTGGCTTTGAACTTGCGATCCCCCTGCCTCAGCCTCCCCAGTCTCTGGGCTTATAGGTGTGCACTGCCACATCCTGGGGCCATTTGATTTTTGACAAAAGTGCAGAGGCAATTCATAGAGGAAAGCATTGTCTGCTCACTGAGTAGACATTGTGGAGGAGTGAGGCATTCCTGTGCCAGAAAAAATAACTATACTTCATCCTTTGTACAAATTTGAAATCAGAATGGATCAACTATGAAATGTAAAACCATAAATCTTCTAGAAGAAAAGGTTGGGGAAAACATTTATGACCTGGAGATATGACACCTAAAACACAGAGCATAAAGGGAAATATCAATAAATGGAACTTGGTCAAAACTTAAAACTTTTTGGGGAAAATATTTGCCCATCCCATATCTGACTTGGAACTATTATCTCAAGTATGCAAATACATGGAAAAAATATACCATCATACACAAGTTTTTGTAAATCTCTCAAAACTGAACAGGAAGAACAACCCAGTACAGGTGAAAGCAGCACCTTACCAAAGAGGATGTACAGGTAGCAAATGAGCACTTGAAAGGTGTTCAACATCAGGAGTGTTTATGAGACCAAAAATAAAGACCACAATGAACAACCACCTCACATCCACTATAAAGGGGAAAAATTTTAAATACTGGTGGAAATGCAAAATGGTGCAATGTTCTAGAAAACATGTTGACAGTTTCTTATGGAACTAAAAATAAACTTGCAACATGACCTGATGCTCATACTCCTGGTCATTCATCCCAGAGGTGCAAAAATGTACCTTCCCAGCTGGGCGTGGTGATGCACACCTGTAATCAGGAGGCTGATGCAGGAGGATCCCTAGTTTAAAGCCAGCCTCAGCAACTTATCGAGACCCTGAGCAATTTAGTGAGATCCTGTCTCAAAAAATAAAAAGGGCTAGTGATGTGGCTCAGTGGTTAAGGGCCCTGGGGTTCAATTCCCAGTGCCAAACAAACAAACAAACAAAAAGCCCCTCAAACAGAAAAACAAAGCAAAGCAAAAAACAGAAACAAAAACACCACAAAATATTACCTTCCTATGAAAAAGTATGTGAATATTCATAGCATTTTTATCTTTGAAAACTGGAAACTGGAACCACTGCTAATGTCCATAACAGGTTCATGTGCAGACAGCCTTTGGATCTCAAAGGCAAACCCAGTAAATGGAGATCAGAGGATCTCAAATCCTGATGAAAGGTCATGTACAGTGTAATTCACTTGGAGAATATTCCTGGGTGGGCCAAGCTGTAAAGATGGAGAACAGACTGTGGTTTCCAGGGGTTAGGAGGAGGTGACCACAAAAGGGACATCATGGGGGAGCTGTTCTGTGAAGAGACAACATGGACAGAGCCTGAGAAACAGGAGGCCTTCAGGAAGGTGGACGGCGGCTGTTGCAGGTATCTGTGGGTCTCTCCCTTCCACCCAGCAGCCTCACACAACCAGGACATCGAAGGTGGAATTCTTTCTGATTTTGCAGTGTGTCAGTATTCTTCACTGCATCAATTTATTTTTTAATTGATTTTATTTTTTTAAATACACGACAGCAGAATGCATTACAATTCTTATTACACATATATACCACAAGTTTTCATATCTCTGTTTGTATATAAAGCAGGTTGACACCAATTCGTGTCTTCATACATGTACTTTGGATAATGATGTCCATCACATTCCACCATCTTGCTAATCTTCTGCCCCCTCCCTTTCCCTCCCACCCCTCTGCCCTATCTAGAATTCATCTGTTCCTCCCATGCTCCCTCTCCCTAGCCCATTCTGAGTCAATCACCTTATATCAGAGAAAACATTTGGCATTTGTTCTTTTGGGATTGGCTAATCACTTAGCATTATCTTCTCCAATGCTATCCATTTACCTCTGAATGCCATGATTTTATCACTGCATCAATTTCTACCTTAAAAATATTTTCTGTGGAAACTTGGCAAAACTAAGTCAAATGAATTTATCTTCTTTTAAAAACCCATATGAGATTTGCATTTTTCTAAAAGCAGGTCCCATTTCTCCCATTCTGGGACATCTTCACCCCACGCACTCAGGACTTAGTCATTAAGACTGTGAGGCACTTTTCTGGGCACTACAGCTTGCACAGTCTGGGAAATTCAGCAGCACCCTGTTTCAAAATAAAAATAAAAAGGTCTGGGGGTGCAGTTCAGTGCTAAAGAGCTCCTGGGCTCAATCCCCAGTACAAAAAGGTGGTATTTAAAAATAAAGGCAAAGCAGGGTTATAAAATTTTAGACTCCTTCTTTGCCTTTATTTTTAAATACGAGGCAACTCAGAAACGATCT